AAAGCGCATCGTGCAAGTTACACTTGCGTGCGTCTCTGTCTCTATCTAGTTCAGTTAACACATCGAAATCGCTTCCCTAAAAAAAAAAAATAATAACAGATAGAAAGGAAACAAGAGATGTAATCGGTTCGAGGATTCTTTAGTAAGTCACAGCACAAGTCAAAGACAAGTGTGTTTGTCGGAAACTTTTTATTTGTTTGTAATTTTGATTTTTTACTTTTTTATTTTTTTTCTAAAGTGTCTATTAATATCTCACAATGAGTGAAAAATTTTCCAGTCTAATTGGAAGAAATATGGTGAAATAATAGAAAACAAATCCGAATATTTTCTTCTCTAGAATTTGTATTACAATTTGTTTGTTAGTATTAGCATATTGCCGTTATTTTCAATATATAACGTGCTAAGAAATTCGAGAAACGTGAGATTGTAAATCTGATATGCGAAAAAGTTTCCGTTTTGTGTTTAGTTCAAAGATTTTAACAATCATGCGTAATGCAATAATTACGCATTTATAAAACGTTGACAGAAAAGTTCAATTTCATATATATGTATGTAATATGGTATGAATAAAATATTAAACAATGCTTTGCAATTCGGTCGGTATCATGAATTCATGTATATTTCGCGTCAATTGAACATTCTTCAACCGAGACATTATGAACAGTTGTGTTATATAAATTCACGCGCAATTGTCATTTGTTATACAGTGCATGATATAGAAATAATGCCCTGGATGATGCGGAAAATTGGGATATCGCTCAATTATTATAGTCACTCAAATTATCGTGACATTAAAAAAACTTTTGTTACGTTGTATCAATCTGCAGCATGCTATAAAAAATTGTACAATAGCTAAAGAGAAGATGAGAAGAAGAGAGAGGCCCGATGTTACACCCGTAACGGCTAATCTATGAAATGATTCTATAGTATGCACGCGTTATCGCGTAGATATAGATGATAGAATTATCATTGAAGCTGTAAATCTTGCCTCACGGCGTTCGTTAGAAAACGATACAATGTACTGATGTAACTACGAATGAGAAAAAAGTCAGCTATGATGTCCATAAAGTTCATGTCCATCTATCACACAACCAGCCGTACTTTAATTTTGTTGCGGTGGTTCCGGGTCATTCGGATTACCGCCCATTTGTCGTCTCAGCGACTCGATCAACTCGGGGTTTGCGTTCTGCATTTGCTGCGCCAATTGTTGGCCTCTGAAATATTTATACGCATACATACAAAATTCACACAAGTCATTCATTTGCTACAAGGATACAACTCAAAAAATAGTTTCCCAGAAAATAAGTTTAAATATTTTGAATTATTAAAATTTTGTAATATTAATTTAAAATGCAATTTTAATGTATGACTGATTTTAGAGAAATAAAAGTTTTTTTTTCTATGTTTTCGTTTTTTTTTTTGCGAGCAACTGAAAAATAATCTTTTTTGAGTTTTGTTGTATATCAATATAACATTATCTATTGAATTAAATGTTATTCTGTTCTATCAAACTTACGCCTCTATGAGTAATTCCATGCGACCACCTTCTTCCACGTTACCAGACATAAGATTACACATCATGTTCTGCATAGCTGGGTCGGATAACATCTGACGTGCCATATTCATTAAAGAAGGATTACTTAAAAGAGCGCTCAAGTCCATGCCGGGTAAATTAGGCAGAGACTGATTAACACCTAATTGGGCCAATTTCTCTTCTGCCAACTGCAAATTGTTTCGATAACTCTCGTTATCTGGTTCCATCGCTAAGGCTTTCTCATAACTCTCCTTAGCCTCTTTATGCCTCTCCAAACTTGAATATGCTAAACCTAATCGACCATATGCCTTGCTGTATGATGGATCAATAGAAAGTGCTGTGTTACAGTCTTTGATGGCTAAGGTGTGATTACCAAGTTTGCTATGAACGGCAGCTCTGTTACAATAATACACTGCATTGCGAGAATCTAATGTTATTGCCCTGTAAGCGAACAAGCTTAAGTTAAAAAAGGAACAATATTTACTCAAATTAATAAAGAAAGACTATGCATACTTTGTGTAATTGGCAAGCGCTTCATGATGCTTTTCTTGTTTCATAAGTGTATTGCCTTCGTTTTTCAATCTTTCTGCTTCAGCCTTTGCTTCCGGTGTAGCTTCTGGACCCAGAACCGGCGCGGCATTCTCCACTGCATTTTTATAAATTTGATACAGATTTACATTTGCGGGGACATCAGAAGCTTGCACATTATAAGCACTCTCCAGACATTGGATTGCTACTTCCAAACTCTCTCGTGAATCAGCAGTTATATCGCCATCTTGCAACTGGTCTGTCAGAAACTTGACAATCGACGAGACTAGTCCCTTGACAGCCATCAGTACTTAGTGAAAAAATGCTCCTACAAAAACAACATCCAAAATGTAACATTCCATTATGCCATATATAATATTAAATTATCCTGTAATTAGTAAATAAAAAACAGTAAAGAAAATTAAAAGAAAAACAGCATTGAGACACAAGAGTGCGTCAAAGTATATATTTCTTTTAATGAAGCACCAGTAATTAAAAAAACTAAGACGGATTTCAGATCAAATCGATTTAACCAGTAATTAACCTATCAAATAACATATGTATTATCTTATTAATAATAGAATTATTAATTTGTTGTTGTTTAACATATGGAAAAGAATTACATTACGGACAGCAAGTTACATAGTTGAAAACTATTCTCTTGTTTTAAGAAAATTTTAATTCTGCCAGCTAAGTTAATCACCAATTAAGTTATCAGAATCCGGTCGAGATCGCCGTGAACGTGGCAGACGATCAACTATCGGATTGCGCTAATTCATCCTCGGTCAACATAACCAAAAAAAAATAATGTAATGACAAAGTATCATCGAGCGCGCTCTCGAGAATCAAAGCGGGCACAGAAGAGTAAAGGGATTTTCTTCAAGGATTCGATTTTTCGGATCACTGATGCTCATAAATGTTTCTCACGCGTTCACTTAAAACGGCATCAAACCGCCGAGTCTCGTGGATGTCGACGTTCGTGACAGCTGATATGAATGAATGTACGTAACGACCACGATTGAATACGTGGAGATAGAGAATGTGAGATAATCATACCTTTGTCTCGATCAACGGTTGACCCGGAGCCTGGAGCAGAAACGGAGCACCGAACGGAACACAAACGGAGGGGAGCCTCCACTCGCGTGCACGTAGAAGTTCGAAGTTGTCTGTTGAAGTTGCCTACTTCACTTCGGTGCGGTTTGCGCGCGCCTCGCGTACCAGCGGCGAACTTCAGTTGTTTCCGTTGTGCGAATTGGTACATGACTGGCGTGCTTGTATTTCGCTTCCGAAAAATGGGATCTGAAATGGAGAAATGGGGTATTTAGGTATACTTAGGCTGTATATTCGGCGAACAGAAAGCTTTAACGTTTAACTCAAGGAAATGTCTTATGGACCGAAACGTACGAGCAGTAATATATAACGTTGTTGTTGCGATGCGTTTTTTGCCGAAGATATGTGAAAAATCCAGCTAAAGCATGTGGAAAAAAATATGAGTTTTCCACAAGTGTATATTTTGTATCGCAATTCGCACTGTTTTTTTTTTTTTTTTGTAATTTCACGTACATTACGGAAACGTGTAACAACCATGATTTGAGATCCGCAGGTCGCCACTTTAAGTGCGCAAGCGCGCGCTACAATCTGTATTTTTGTGCAGTTGTTTAAATAATTATACTCTACTGTAAGGTAAATAAAATATTAAAAGTATAATATATTAATAATATAATATATTAATAAATAAATATATATATATATATGTGCGTGTGTGTGTGTATATATTAAGAAAATTAGAAAAAAAGGTATATTTCTTTAAAAGTCACAAATTTAAAAAAACCAAAAAATGAAAAAAAAAACTTATTCCAAAAAACTATTTTCCAAACTCAATAGAAAATTATTAATTAAATAATATTGCGGCAATAAAAAGAATATGCTTAACATGATTAAATGTTATTTTTGTCATTTTTGTTTTATGACTTTTAAAAGATATTATCATTTTGGAATTGTGATTTTTTTATGAAGTTAAGTTCAATTTTGATGACTGACTTTACTTATTCATGATAATAATTTGAAAATTACGTTGTTTTGATTTTTTAAATAAGGAAGCGATATATATATTAATAATTCTCAATGATTATATTTTATAATAATTAGATTTTATCATGCAAATTTTATTCACAAATAAGATTTTCAATATATAATATTTGTTTTAACAATATATAATAACAATAAGAACAAAATTCATTGATTAATTTTTGCATATCGATTAATCGAATGTAATAATTATAAATAATACAAAATTATTAATAATACAAAAGAGTAAATATACGTATTAATAATCATTATAATTTATAACTCAGTCAATTAATACAGAACATTGAAAGAATGTTGAATGATGAAATGTAAACGTTTTTTCAACATTATGCATTTCGTGATGTTAATTTGCAAAGTTATAAAGTTATAAGTTCAAAGTTTCTGATGTATTGATTCAACATTAGATCAATAATCGGAAATAGATTAAAATAAATTGAAATTTTTATGCGTATATTAAATCCATTAAATTAATTAAATAAAAAAACTTTTATTTAATTGAATTTAATTGAAAAACTGCATTTTCTTTTCAGAATTTTGAATTCGGCAAATATTCACGATGCATATATAGAAAAAGCTAATATTATTTTTAGATTGAAAAGCATAAAAATATGCTTTATGCATTCCTGTAAATGAATAAAAATGTGTTCGGAAAAAAAAAATTTATTTTTTTTGCGAATGCACATTTCTCAAAATCTGACTCCATTTCAATTCGTTTCAATCAATTCCGTTTACTAGGAATGTGTTACATGGATGATTTGCTATATCGATTTATAATAAATAAATACTTATTAATATATGTATAGATATATACAAAATTCAAATTTTTATGTCGATCTCTAATTTCATCGAATTAATGTGGACCCTGTTTTATAATGCGGAAAATTATGTTGTTGTCGTCTGTGCCAGCCAAAATATAATGATTGTTCATGTGGTAGAATGGCATCATCGTTTGTAAGCCATTCACGGCGTGTTGCATTTTCATTTGGAATTTCTGAAAATAATTGTGATTATATGTTATTTAAGAGAATTATTTCGTGTCATTGTATAAGAAATTCTCTAATGAGAGAAGGAAAAAGGAGAAAAAAAAGAGATGAACGGAGAAAAGTGAGGAAAAGAGGATTCGTTTCTTTTATTTATACATAAAATAGTAAATTTACCCCGGCAAACATATATTCATAAATATAAAACTGTCCACTCTGGGTCGTCACAATCACAAACACATCGCTGTTGCCATACTCTGTAGGAGAAAATAAGTGAATTATTATAAATAAATCATAATAAAATCATATATAACAAAATCTCAATCATAATAATAATCGTTAATATAATAAATTGGGCGAAAACATGATATAAATATACGTGCGTCTTCTAATTATATTAATTTATTATTTTGATAATCATACCATCGGTGTAGAAATACTCAATCCCGTTAATCTGATGGGAATGAAAAATGCTTTGATAACTATAAAAATTTCGAAACTCGTGGTCGTATTTATAAATGTTCACTGCGTTTGTATCAGGATTGTCCAGTAGAACGAAATAATCTTTTTCTTGTGATAGACTTTTTACATAACGGCTTCTGCTTGTGAATGTTCTCAACTGTTCAAACTACATTCGAAAAAATAAAAAAGTTTTTACATAAAGGAAAATTAAATTAATTTTTGTATAAATTTTAAATTATTTTAATTAATTTTTTTGTGAATAATTTTTATATTATGCTCGTTTTTATATTTATATAGGATAGTATAAGTTCTAATTTTCATATTTTACAAAATATAATGTCATTCATTTTATCTTAATTATTTAAGCAATTAATTTATACCTTTTGTGTTGTTGGATCGAATTTGTATAATAAAGATTTCAAGGACTCGCTATAACAGCCGATAAGAAGAAATACTTCGTGATCGATATTGAAAATCTGAATGGACCAAGCACCATCCGTAGGAATTTTCTGCACTAACGTTGCGTTTCTTATCGAATGCACTTTATAAAGCAAAGAATTTGTGCGATGTGTTGCACGTACTTTATCATAGTATATCGCCAAAACTATATACACATCGCCTGCAAATTAAACATTACATTAATTTTTTAAGTTTCATTAATATTTCATTATAATTTTAATGACAGATTTTTTAATGTGCTGCGAATACCGTCATGCTTAAAAATTTTAGCATCCTTTAGGTAGCCTTCTATTTTATGAAAAACTTCTTCGTGATTCATTTTAAAATTTTCTATTGTCATCAAGGAAATCGTAGTATATTCTGATCTGATTTTCGAGGTGCATTCTTTGCTGCTTGAAACAGTGTTCGTCATTATATTCACACCGAACATTTCGCCTGGATCGTGAAAATTTTTCACAATTTCCCCGGCGTTTACTCGCCACTCTCGTATAGTTCTGTTCGTGTCACTGAATTTAATGACATCAATCACAGACTGATACGTACATGAACAGTTGTCAAGTAGCCCACAAAATCTTCCAGGTTGCTCCCTATACATATTCAACCTGACCGTGTTCTCGTCAAAATACACTACATCGATCTTACTGACATTGGTCCCAGGTATCTTTAAATCTTCTTCCTCCTCTAGATAGAAAAAAATGTTGCGCAAGGTTTTGGACATTTGCGAGCTGTACTCGATATTCTGTTCGATTATTTTCCAAAATTTCTCCAAGTTCTCAATAATATTGTCTATCTTTCCTTTGAAATTGTTAGCGACAGAATGCAGATTCACGCCGTTCACAAATCCAGAAGTACTTATGTTTTTAATCCGAACATCCGCCTTGAAAATCTGGAAGAAATAATTGAAGAAATGCGACCCATACATAAGTTACAATTTTTAAGAAATAATTTCTTCTTGATATGTACATATATAAACATTATTTTATTGAACGATAAAGTTTAATTCAAGCTGAATCAATATTTAATTCTTAAATATTGGATTCAGCTTGAATATTTTGTAAATATTTACGTCAAATTACAATAATTTAAGTTGATTTAATCCCGTAATTTGAAATCTTTTAAATTTTTCTTTAGATATATAAGAAGAATATATAAGAAGAATCTGTGCTTAACAAATTTTTTTGCAATCTATTAAAATTTTAGGGATTTTTTTAAGTTAGGGTTTGTACTAACAAGGTCACCAAAGATGTCGACATTTTCATCATTATTTTGTATACCGTCGTTATATTTTTCCATTATATTGACATTATTAATTAGTGGCGCAACAACGTCTCCATCAACTATCAAGTCCTCTTTGAAAGTCTTTACGCCATCTATTATTTGCACCTCGTCAACGTCATTGAGGACAAAATTAGATGGATAAATTCCATTAATTTTTCTTATATTTGCATTGCCTAAAATACGTAAATAAGATAATATCAAATTTTTCTTAAATAATTTTGCATGGAAGCTCTTTTTTCTTAAAAAGAATACAATTTTATCGTAAGATCATAAAACAGTAAATTCTGTAAAAGTGTATCAATATTCGTATTATTTAAATTACAAATTGAAATAAGAGAATAGTGTCATCATTATAATTTCAATTTAAGTGAACTTAATTCAGATAATTGTTAATTGCCAAATCATTTACCTGTTACTGTAACGATACCATTGAATTTCATATCGCACGTAATTTCATGATCTCCGCTAAGAGTGACACGATCCTTTACAAACTTGTCAAAGTCAATTTTATTCAAATTTTGTAGATACACATCACCCAGTACCTCGAGCTCCTCGAAATAAATATTGTCCGGCATAACGTCGTTGGAACGGACTGCTGCGTTGACGGACGCGTTGAGATTGGCGTCGTTTACATAAAGCTTCTCGACCGTAACATCCTTAAGGAATATTAACGGACCAACAATCATGTCATCGTGATTCTGTTTAAAGACAGAATTATTGAACTCGAGGATATTCACATCATTGATATTGGCAATACCCAAATCGCCATTCACTTTCAAATTGTCCACGACAAAGTCTTCCTCGAAGATTTTCGTTCCGTTGATCTCGATGTGTTCTCCGTAGTCGATCACGGCATCCGATATTATTTGTTGAATTTGCTCGATGTTTGAATAATTACCTCTAACCGCCCACGCACGAACATCCTCTTCAAAGATCACTTTTCCCGTAATAACTTGGTCCCTATCTTTGGTCACAGCGTTATTTAATAGATGAGAGATAGAAGCAGGACTAGTTGAATCTGTGTCCCAGGAAATATTTCCGTGGACTTCCAAGAGGTCGATATTTTTTACGGGAATGTACAACAAGCTATCGTATAACTACAACACAAGACGAAAAAAGAAAGAGAGATTATTTTTTTAAGAAAAACTTTGAAAGATTAATAGATAAGATATAGTTTTAAGTACAATGCTTATGTAACTTGAAAGATATTTTAATAATTTTTAGAGTAATTTTAAATGACTTTTATAAATAAACTAAAAATTCTTTGAAGGCATCTTTCAATTTCTATCTACTTAATTAATGTCAATTATCTGTTAATAATCGATGTACAAGTCAGACTAATTAGATGTTAAAATAAAAAACTTTATTTTTACCTCGCTTACGTTGCGTCCATTCATTTTTGGAGTAATCACGTCGCCTTCGACCAATAGATCGGTGAACGTTACGTTGCCCATGATTGTCAGAGGCTCGTCCACCCACATCAGTTGCGAAGCGTTTTGTTTGTTGATAAAATCCACTGTGACATTGTCGGAGATGACAACATCAGCAGTGAAGTATCCTGTTATCGTTTGCTCCTTTGATTTAGAAAGAACACTGGCGGTCCAATCATTGAAGTTACGTCCACGAAGAGATTCTATCGTTATGTTCTGAACGATCAAATTCTCGATGCTTCTTTCTGACGTTATCACAATGTCATTTTGCGACAGTTCCTCTAAGAAACTCTCGGTCGATTGCCCACCCACTTGATCAACCATTAGATTCTCCACCGTCAAATCACCGTCGATAACGATTTTAATTGATTCAGAACTCATCAAATCTTTCAATCGCGTCTGATTTATCTCAATCCCATTCAATGTCTCCACTTCCAAATTTTGTACGTGAAACTCTGGTACCTTCAAGAATGCTAGCCGATGATTGTCGTCGGTGTGAAGCCCGTTCTCGAAGAAGACTTCGCGATTATTGATAAAACGAACATCGAGATTATCAACGAAGACACGACATGCTTGAACAGCGGGAAGTTCCACGGTTTCTGAGAAATTCACACGCGTCTCATTCATGATGTCGTTCACATTAATGCCATTGAAAGTTAGAGTAATGATATCTTTCGCTCGGAGAGTTTGTACGTGCAACTTTTCTCGGATCGTTAATGAATTTGGTTCAACTTCGAAGAAATTATCGTGAGGACCATTCTCATGAAAGAATTGATCGACGTGGAAGTTCTCGAAGCGCAGATTAGTGAAATCGCTCGGTATCTCCTTCATCGTGGTATATAGAAAGTCGCTCTCCGCGAAACCGTTGAGGTACTTAGTATCAAGTTTATCGATAGTGAATCCGGCTTCCAAAGTGATTTTTTCGGTGATAGTCTGATCGGTAGATTTTGTCCAGTATCGATCGAACATGTCGGTCACGTTTACCAGATTATCTTCCACGAAGAGCTTCGCTGTCTTGTCGACCATGATATTCTGAACATGCAGATCACCTAGTATCGTCACATTTTTGTAGATCTGAAGCCACTTATCGGGCATTTTTATCATAGACTCATTCGTGTCGATCACCAAATTCTCGGTAACGGTAAGTTTCGCCAACTTTAATTTACCTTCAAAAAAATATATAAATATTGAATATAGTATTGGAATATTAGTATTAATCGTAAAAGAGAGAATAACTTTTGAGATTGGAAAAAGTTGATTAATTAATGATGTAATTATTCTAACGTATTTGTGTAATATTATATTAATATTAATATAATTATTAATTATTATATCATTAATTAATTATTAAAATCATACTCGCTGTAAACTGTCACAATTTACAAAATTAGTTAAGAAATTACCCTCAATAACGTTCTTTCGAGACTTTCGTGCAGCTTCCTCAACGGGCACCCCATTAACTCTTTCCGCATACAGATTTTCAATGTGTAACGCTTTCGCATAGAAATCATCAAAACTCTGATTTGTTGTTGTAGTCATAAGTTTATCGGTAGAAACACCATTCACCATTTGTGCCGTAAGATTCATAATTTGCAGCGAGTTCTTATATGTGATCGTACCTATGATTAAAATACTATCAAATTATGATCAACTACATACAAAATCTGTAGCTAATTGTTTTTGTCGATTTTTGCATTTAAAAAAACATAAAAAATAGACTGTTATACTTAACCATTGATTTTCTGAGCGCGATTAATGATAAATAAATCGTCCATCAACTGATCGATGATTGTCCCATTCAGGTTTTTAATCTTTAATGTCGGTACTGTTAAATCGGAATGCAATATAAGAGTATCATTTGAATACTCGACAGAACTATTTGCAATGGCAGACCCAATTCCTTCGTCATTTTGTAACAACCAATCTGTAGAAATATTGTTTATACAAATCGATATAAAAAAATATATCGCATTATAGAAATTATTCTTCATAGCAAAAAGTCATATTCATATCACAATAAACTCACAGTAGTAACGAATGAATTATGTTATTGTGAGATTATCAAAAAGTCACACTGACATTATTATCTTGATTTGTATATAGCAGTTGTATATAGTTAAGTTGTATATAGTTAAGTGCAACCTTTATCATAGCTGCATAATGATATTATAGATATCATACCTACGACAAAGTGAATATTTACTTACGATTTTATTGCGATATTTTTGTGACTTCTTTTGCTATGAGGTTTTTTCAAACTTACATTCGGGCGGTATTCCACAGAGAGAGTCAACCTCGAGATTGTGTATAATGAGATTTTTCGCACGTAACAGATTTGCGAACTCTTCAGTTTCAAAGGGAATTATCTTCTCCGACTGCATATTCACGTTGTTCACGAAATCCACTTGCATTTGGTCGATTTCCAACTCATCCAGATATACATCATTAGCTATAATCTTTTCCTTGAACGCTTCCAATATATCAGCAGTCATCTCTTGCGAATTTAATTGTTTTGCCTGGACGTTGTGGACATTGCGATCGAGTTCTTTCAGAGCTTTTGCAATTTGATGAGGTGACAGGATATCTTCTTCAGTCACAACCTCTGCGCTGTCCACCATGCCGGATCGCAAGATCAAACTGTCAAAATTCACTGGCTCTGAAATTGTCAAATTCTTTGCAGCTGGTAAGAGCAGCTTCCAGGAAGCTTTAGCTTCTTTTACGGCTGACATTCTCGCTTGTAACGTTTCGATCAGATCCGATAAGCATTTTCTTGTTGCATCGGTATTATTCACATTGTTATCTGAAATTTTATTTTAATCTTTTTGAATCATCAGGCTTGATATTTATTTTTATAACAATATAAAAAAAATACTTAAATGATTTGTTTAATATATATATAAATGCCTCAATAAATGTAAAAGAGTTAATAATAAAATAAAAATTGAAAACATTCCATGAATATCTTTATATTTTTCTATTTTATAAAAAGAATTTATCGTTTCTAATAAAATATAATAAAAAAATATATAAATAATATAATTATGAGATAATAATATTATATATACTTATTTTATAATAATCGCTTTTTCATGACAAATGAAAAAATAATTATTTACCTACTGGTACCAAAGTCATCTCAACTTCCCATTGTTCCACCCAATATACGTTTTTTTCTACAAGGACCAATGTTAAATTTATTGTATGTTCGTTCAATAAGACTATCATATCAACTATTTTTTGATTATCCTTAAAGAGTTTAACATTTTCGCTTTTCCAATCGGATGTACTATGAAATTTATATAGCTGGATAATATTCTGTAAATTATTTGTTGCATTATTAACGTATCACGCTTCAATTTTCAATTTATTTTAATATTGAACAATTGTACACTTACATCGTGCGCTACAACTATGAAAGTATCGCCGTCTATGTGAAAAATTCTTATCAGACTATACGGTTCGATGTCAGGAAGGCTGAACCAATCCAGCAATTCTCCTCCTGGCAACAATACATTCCAGATTCTAGACAATGTCCTACTTTAAAGGAAAAGAAATAAAAGGAAGATTTTATCGAATATATACGAACCGTCCCAACAGAACACATCGCTCGGTCCTAAATCATTTATCATCAGTATGAAGTTGAAGTCGCCATGAATGTAGTGATGCACCGACGTCGGACGTGATGCACCAGCAGTGGATAGTAATTGTATCCTTACGATGTTATTGTCCTTGAACTCATACACTTCGGAACCGATCCACGGATTCTCGGCGTAATTCTGGGCGAATACAATGATCGTTGATCGCCGGTGCTCGAATGCGGTGACCGATATTGCGCCGGTCATCCTCATTTCGTCGACGACGTCCATGTATGTGCCGCTCCATCGGTAGATCCTGCAATTCAATTGAACGTGAGAAAAATAAAAATTTGAAAGAAAGAAATATTTAGTTCGATGTATTTGTTTTTACTGCATTGAGAAAAATGAATGAACCAGAAGATTCTGATTATATCAAAATTTCGTTTCTCAATTCTAGTAGCTTTAATCAGAAAATTCTAATTTATTCATTTTCAATTAATCCAACTAGACATTCTTCTCAGATATATGTATTTCAAGACCAACACGATAAGAAATTTAAATTTAATTATTTAAATTAATTTAATTTAATTTGTCTCTCTGTTCTGTTTAGGAATAATATCACGAGACTCACACGGATGATATGGGAAATTTGTTGGCATTATTGACGATAATCAGATATAGTTGATCGGCTTGTATGAAAAATTTAGCATCTACAGGGATTCGTTTGTATCCAATGGTATGACGAAATCGCAACGGCTGATTCGATTTTGCCGTGTGAATACTGCATAGACTGGGCTCGTAACATACTAATAGATAGTTGGTGTTCTTCCATATGATACTCTATGATATCATAATCGATGCAACTCGTTTACATTGTGTACAGTGGATTGTAAATAAAGTTAAACATATTAAAAATATAAGAAAATATATAAAAGATATGTAATATAAAAGATATTTAGATTAGATTATATTATATTTTGCATTTTATATTAATATTAAATTTTATATTACATTTTAAATAAAATTATTAATATTAAATATAATTTTAATAGTATAATACTATAAATTTCATAATATATTTTATGAGATAAAGATTAATTATAATTAAAGAGTGATTTGTACCCTGACAAATTTAATGACGGTTCCCTTTTTGATCCGATAAACTTCGCGTAACGTGTCATAAGTCTCATTCCAGGAAGTCGCATTGAGAGAAGGTACCATCACACGATTGCTGTCGAGAATGAATACTCCGTCGAGCATATCTATTGCGAATGGCTGATGATCGCTTGTTATAGGAACTCGCCATGATCTGTCCCAGTTAAGATTATATGATTTTTCTTGCACTGTAATCAAACGTCTACTATTTTTTATCTCGATAAACAAATAATTTTTATTTGATTATGAAATTATTTCTATTTGATTTTGAGTATATTATTATTATGTGTTTAATCCTACTATTTGCACTATTTTTTTAATGTAATTATTCACATACAATATCTTTGACATCTTAATATCATATTTTATTGTTCCTTTTAATGATTTACAATTAAATAAAAATTGATAATAATCTATACGCTGTTCAAAGATAAATGCAATTTTTTTCAACTATGAAACAATTTGTATTAAATGTAATAATGTTTACAAATATAGTAATAATGTTTACAAATATTTAATGAATTTATAAATTATGATTATTTAAAAAAAAAGATACTTGTCATTAAAATAATGTTATGCGGATTTACCTGGTGATGTTTCTTGGATATGTATTTTAATGAATTCTGTCTTGGATTGCCGTAATTTTTCGTCGAGATATTCGTTCAGGTCTATCGCGTGCACGGAAAATAATAGTATAGAAATATAACTTTCCAGCTGTAATACGATAGATATTGAAGAAACTGAAGAAATGTTGCGTTTAACCGTGATTTTTCTGCATTTACACAACTGAAAAAGACAATACTCACGAATAGAAAGAAGAGTTTCATGATTTTGTGATTTTGATCACGGATATCGTAGCCGTACTGAATCCATTCACGGCAAAGGCCGAATATTGAGAAATTTTCGGAAACAATCCGTGATATTAGGATGACCTTCTTGATATCTCGCGCATATGAGAAGCGAGTATTAATATAATAAATGTAAATATGTCAATATTATGAAGCATAAATATGAAATGTATTCCTCTTTTAAATCTAACGATACAGGCAAGGCAAAAGATAAATATATACGTACTATATACAGAACACGTATAAATATCTTATTGGAAATCAAAGTTATAATTAACGGATATAATATAAAACAGACAAGAATTTTTTCGTAAAATTTGTTACGATCTGCTCTAAAAGAAACATGAAGAATTTGATAAAAAATATGTATTAATTTGCTGGCGTACTGTAGACAATTTGTTTATTAGATATGCAGTATGGATATCTGCATCTAGTGCAAGTGCATCTTGATCAAATATACTTTTATATATTGCAACATCTCATCAGAGAAAAATAGAAATAGTTTATACGGAGGGGAGGGGGAAGGAGGAAGTTCATTTTTTTTTGTGTCGCAATATTTTGTCGTTTATTAATTTTATTATATTAATTCTGTGGTGCATTCAGAGAGAAATGGACAAAATAATATTATATCAATCGCCGTGATTAAATGTCAATAACCTCTGGAAAATAAAAAACCGAAATAGATGTATAATATGTAAGATATAAAATTTTTTCTACTTTTTAGAATTGTAAAACATCGATAGAAGAGGAGTCCAGTATTTAGTTTTTTCATAATATAATTGACAATATGAGATGACAGATAGAATAGTCTTTGTATAATCTGCTTCTACATATATTTATATATTTTACACTCCTCGCGCTTAGAATAAAGAAATAATTTCCCGTTTGAATTTCGAATTAATAAAATTAATAAAAAGAAAAAGATAATGGAAATAAAAATTGTTCAAAATAAAAACAAATAATATGGAACAATTTATATAAGATCCAGTAAGAATTTCGTCGGATTTTTTCGAGATGGTCTTCGATCAAAATAAAATAAGCAAGGTATAAAATCATCCGCTATTTTAATCCTTCAAATTCTAATGTTTTTCAACCTCCAGAATTACATAAATCCAATATTAAAAAACAATTTTTTTACCATAAGCGACGTTTTTTTATATCATAAGCGTCGTAAAAAACACCATTTCCATAATTCAAATCATAATTCAAAGGCGATTCAAATCTTCGCGCTTGCGCGCGCTAGGGAAAAGATTACATCGGGATGAATTTCGAACGTTACATTTGGACGCGCGCATGCGCGAGATGCGAAGACGCGTGCGCACTAATCCAATGCGAGGAGCGTCGCGTTCTCTGATTGGCTAGATGATCTGCGCGACGAGACATGACAACGAACGGCGAATCGCGGGCGCGGTCTCGACTGTCTCGAACGGACTCGAATGTCTCGAACGCATCGGTGATCGGTGGTTGGCATTCGGTCGACTGGTCGACTCAGACCACTGTGCCACTGTGCCGCCCAGTGCAAGTAGTACGCGCTACCGTGTTCCGTTACAGAGCGGAAGAACGGAACGATCAGATTGAGCTGATTGAGTCGGTTTGTCTCCATCAGGCGGTCTTTTTCTCGGCCCTTTCCCAATTCGCACTTTTTCTCCGTTGTCCCATTTTCGTTTTCGTTCCATTTGCGATCGAGTTCGGAGTTCCCGTCCGCCGCCGCGGGATACTCGCGGACGCCGGCGCGCCGGGAACGCGACGCCGCGAGATTCGAGAACGCGGCCGCGCGCAGCTGCGTGCGCGACCGAGAGACGAGAGTACGAGCACGCGCGCTCGCGTGCGTCTGTAGTCTGTAGTGCGTGGCTGCGTATGTGTGTGTGAGCGCGTTCGCGCACGCGAGCGAGTGATTCCGAGATCGTCGAGCGGCTCGGCGCTCGCGTTCGTGTATGCGAGCGCAACCGCGTGCGGGCGGTTCCCACACGACGTCGTCCGTGCAACAAGTGTCAGGAGGCGGACAGTGTTGGTAGCGGAAACTGTGCTGTGGTACTTAATACGGAATACGTGTGCATGGTGCTACTGGATTAGCGCGTATGACGGAAGGATCATTCGATCGGCGTCTAACAATCGTTATCAATCAAACATCGGTCACCGTCACTATCGTCACAACGACGTGCTGAGAGGAGACCGTCACCGGCGAGGGCGCGGGGATGGGCTGCGCCGTGAGCACTACCGGCGAGAAGGAGGCCGCCGAGCGGTCCAAGAAGATCGACAAGGACCTCCGCGCTGATGGCGAACGCGCCGCCAGCGAGGTCAAGCTCCTGCTGCTCGGTAAATACCCGTCACGATAACTCTTCTCGATACTCGCCGAGTACCAACATCCTGGCGCGTCTAATGCGTGGAACACGTAAGATATACCGTGACGGAAAATTTCCGGACGGACTTCCATCGACCGTTGTTCCTCGGACCTGGTTTCGGGGATTTCGATCCTCGGATTTCGGAAGACGACGGCAAATTTGCATCCCCTGCTTCGACGACGCGCCTATATACTCTGATTTCTTTCTTTTTCTTCAGTCTTTCTCTCTCTCTTTTTTCTCTTTCTTTCTCCATTCGTTCCTCTTTCCTTCTCCTCGCACATCGTCTTGTCTCGTATCGCGCGTGTATCGCGTATTGGACACACCATGCACCCGCCGAACGCTCCCGAAGTCGCGTAGCCCACGATCCGCAAAATCACCGCCTCTCTCTCTCTCTCTCTCTCTCTCTCTCTCTCTGCTCTTTCTATTCCTCTTCGCTTTCTTCCTCTCTGAATCACGAACGCTATAAGGAAGAAAATTATTATTATTAGATCTGTCCTTTTCCAGCGTTTATTTCTCTAATTATTGCGATGTATCCTTTGCATTTTGGTGTTCTCAAGAAAATAGTCATAACATCATAAGATATGACCTCATATATAAAGATCTGTTATCAACCGGTTGTATCAGAGAAGCCGCGACAATCTTCAAATCAATTGGTGAGATATTTTTTCCAATCCACAGTAGATCCGCTCGCTTTTCTTCTTGCCTTGATGATGAAATATTTTTCTCTTTCTCCTTCCAGAATCTTAGAGTATCCTTCACCTTATCCAAGAGGTAAAGAATCCTGTAGAAAAGAATTACCGAGCTTCTCCAGCAATTTCCTCCCCATCTTTCCTTGGAATCCTATAGTCTTACGAATCAAATAGAGCAAGCGATTTGTGTGCCAACGAGAGAAAGAGCTGAAATGCAACGGTTGATATTGCGTCTAATCCAGGCGACGAGACTCCTTTCCTAGCGTCTCGCGACACGGTGCCTTTCGGTCGGTTAACACGCTCTCGATCGCACGAATACAAGCGTCCTTCTTTCTCGCGAAACGCTTCCCGCAGTGGCGTGCGTGTGTCACATTTTACGTTCCTTCTATGGCTAAAACGTAGACGATCACGAAATTGCGATACGCCGTATTTTAATTCTCGGTCGCATTCTCTCGTCGGCCAAAATCCGCGGTTTGCTTTGCCGCTATCCAAGTCCTTTTAAAAAAAGAGAAATTTCCTGTTCCCTGAAACGGGAGCGTTCTTTTAACAATAGAATTTACAATCGGCTGTATGCACTCGTACATTCTGCTTTTAGACGTATAGAAGGATTATAGAAATAGAAAAAGAACTTTTGGTGAAATATCTAAATATTTAACAAGATACAGATCTGAAAATAATTTTATTGGACTGTTAAAATAATTATGTAGGAAACTTAAGCATGATGGGCAACGTTTCAATTTTCTAACAATCAATTTGAGCCTACATAATTATTTTGATATTATTTGAAGTCTAACACAATTATTTTTTGATCTGTCTAACTAAATTTTTTAATAAAACTGTTCTTTTTGCGCAATGTCTGAGACATCGAAATAATAAATTTAAAGCAATTTTATTCATATTGATTAAAAAGCTGGAATTAAAAATGTATGCAAAAAAAAATGATTATGTGTCATTCAAATGATTCATTTCTCTGCAAATATGTTTTTAGATTTGCAAATTAGGATAAATATTTTTCTTGTATACATCTAATACACTACAAATACATTTAATTACGCGAATTTATTTCAATATTTATTATTCGTTATCGTCAAATGTTGGAAGTAACTGATTCAATAATAGTACTAAAGATCCAGTATTGTTTAGTATTGTCAATGCGTTCAAAAAAATTTTGAAATTCTTGACCGACATCGCAATGTGGAATCGCGATGTAGAACGCATACATCGTTACGGGAAACTTGAATCATCGGCCGCGTGTGAATCACGAGAGATTACGTCTCTCTGAGATCGCACGGAATTATCTTCGTCTCACTTATAGGAAAAAAAAATTACTCTTCCTGGAAGGGGAAAACGAGTACTAGTTGCAATGACTTTGCAATGACTGGCGGAACTGATCGTTAATCGGACAAAACTCATCGACAAAGATACCGATGATTAATCGGTTAATTAGATTGATTACATATCTGGCAATGTGTTGATTGTGAGCATTTTTGCATAGACTCGTATTGATTCAAAAATAGCGAGTCGTTATGATAAATGAATTGCGGCGTTAACAATGCACGGCGTGACCGCGATTTTAATTATGTCAAGGAAGACTCGAGAATTTCTTTATCTCATGGTCACGATATTTGATATTTGATCATTTCAATGTGATACGATATTTAATTAGATATTGTTTGATACAATATTTAGTATGATATATTCATATAATATAATTATAATATAATTATATGTATGATTGTTGAACAT